GTACACAGTAGGCACTCAATAGATGTTGAATTAATGAAAGATTCCTTGTTGGGACGGGGATCTGCACCTTCCCTTAGAAATTTCAGCATCAGAGAACTGTTGGCTAAGAAATGTCAAACCAAGAAAAGACCTTGGGGTCATTCATTCTCAGTAAGTATGCTTTGATCAGGGACCTGCCACCATCTAGGTGGACACAGTTAGCCAGCATCCCAGGCCACGGCACTTGGGAATTGGGAGGAAGATTAGTGGTTCCCAGAGACAATAAATGAAGGTGCAGGCAGAATTTTGGGAATTGAAGAGTTAACAAAACCAGATCTGGGATTAGCCCCATTTCTAAGCACTGGGGGTTTGGAAGAGCTTGATCCAATACCCCATTCTGTGGTGTGCCTGTATTGATCTGCCAGGCTCAGCTCCAAGTCTCTCACAACTTCAGGCAGTCCCCTTCCAGGATTATGTTTTAAAGGGAAATGCAAATCACCTGGAGGCTGCTTCATGCTTGGAAGAAGTAAAAATCAATTGTGTTTTTGTTTAAGTGATTTTTTTGGACACTGTCATAAAGCTCTCTCATCTCAGGGCAGAGGGTGACAGGTAGGCTGCCAGTCTCAATTACATAACCAAGCCAGCCAGGCAGCATTAGGCCATCTTCTCAGGAGCAATGCTGTTCCATGCCCTTTCCAGGCCTAATTTCCCCTCTCTAAAGTACCTAAGAGAGCCTCATCCCCACCAGGCCCAGAGCTGGCCCTTAATGGCCTTTATAGATGCTTGTCACAAGGCTTTCCTCCTGTGTGTTTCCCTCTTCCCCACACCCCACCTGAGCTTTGCCCAGACTGGCTCAGGCAGTCCAGGCCAACTGTGATGCCAAGCAAAGTCCAACAAAATTAAGGAGAATCTACTTTGAAAAAGTCTATGACATATAATACACTCCCAAACTATATATATTGGTCTTATTCAATATTGGGAGTTCTGTGTTGTCCTTCCCTCTCTTAACTGAGATAATTGAGGATTTATTTTATTTATAGCATCAATTATGAGCTCAGAAATTAACTCTCTAATGGTGCATTTGGGAGCTCAACTGTCAAGGGAGTAAATGGGAAACTAGGCATGGGGGGGTCTTCCCCACCAGCACAGGAGGCATCAAAGGACAGCCATCCGCAAGCCTTGATGGCAGCTGGGCTCTTATTGTTCTGTGTGCTGAAGGTATTTTGAGATATTAAATAAACAGGAATAATTGGCTCTAGGAGATCCCTCCCTGGAGGACACCTGAGTGACTTATTAGTGAGTCCTATGAAAGCAGGCAGGAGGGCAACCAGAGCCAGGAAGAGCACATGCCTTCCCTTGGCATATCCGCCCTTCACCTGTTGGTCAGCTCTGCTCTGCAAAGGAGCTGAAGACAGTCTCTCCAGACTGAAATTTGAACGTGGGGAAGGTTTAGGGTGGGGAGGATCTGGAGACAAGAAGAACTAAGCATCTTCTGGGAGCTATTGGGGGCAGCCGGACAGAACATGGAATGTGACAGAATACGGGTCCTTGATGTTCCATGGCCACTTGAGGATCAAATGCCAGTGAAGAGTAAGAAAGACAGGCTTTCTGCAATGGTTAACAAGCCTAAAGCTAGCTAGTGAATGTGCTGAGGACAGAAACTGACCATAGAAGAGGAAAAGGTTTCCAAGGTCAAGTTGGTAAGATCTCTGATGAGGGCAAGAAGATCCCACAAAGCCGCACAGCATCCAGAGGAGGGACTGGATAGCGAGACAGTGGCCACCCCCGCCCCCCACCAGGCCCCTCCCACCGGGGCGGCAGGGGTCTGGGCAGAGTACAAATCTTGAGTCCCCACTAGAGGGAGGACTGGCAGGTCTGGAAAGGACTGAAAGCAGTATCAAACCAGGCAAATGGAAGAGTTCACATTGATCCATCCATTAAAAAGCATTTTGCCAAGCACCTGCTATGTACAGCCAAGCAATGAGCCTGGTGATGGTTCCAAATGCCAAATCAGGTCAAACTCAAAGTAGCCCCATGCAGCATTAGGCTACACCAGCCCAGGTGGAGAGGAAGAAAAAGCCTGCTTTCTCTTTACTTATCAGAGGTTAAGTCCTTTCTTGCCCATTAGTTTCTCCTCGCAGAGGCTAGCCACTTTGTTGCTTGGGGAGGGGAAGGATGAGGAGCCCACAGGGTCCACAGGCAGTGGACAGGTGCTTCTCCTGTCCTCCCTTGCTCTTTGCCTGCACTCTCTGGCCCAGTGCTTTATGCTCGCTCCTCCCCTAGAAAGTAAATGTGAGGCCAAGATTGTGGAGCCTGCTGGACTAGCCTCTTAATTGACAGGGTGAATACTAAAGGGAATCGGGGTCTCCCCAGGGACAGTAAACACTGGATTTTACTATGAAAGCAGCTATTCATTTCAAAGGCAGTATTGAAACTGACTGGAAGGAAATGTTTTATTTATCACTTCCCTGTGTGCCTAGAATAGGGCCGGCAGCACCCACTGCACTGAGGCCTCCTTGAATTAATGTGACTAGAAGAGACTCTGACAACCTGAGGCCATAATTAAGAAAGAAAAGAAGCTGCGGGTCCTGAGGGTATGGGGACCAGTAGATTGGTGAGTGAATAGAGAAAGGGCCCTGAAGACAGGCAGGCTGGGATTTGAAAATCATCTCTGCCTCTTAACAGCTGTGTAACTGTAGAAATGCACTTAACCCCTATGAGCTTTATCTTCTGCATCTTTATAGATAATATTGAATTTTTCCCACCTTGCATGGTTGTTGTGAAGACTTCAAGAGATTATAGAGTTGACCCTATGAGTTTGAACTATGAGGGCCCACTCATATGCAGATTTTTTTCCCAATAAATATATTGGAAAATGCTTTGGAGATTTGTGACAATTGAGAAAAACATTTTCTTTTCTCTAGCTTATTTACTGTAAGAATACAGTGCATAATACATATAATATACAAAATATATATTAATCACCTGTTTATGTTATCAGTAAGGCTTCTGGTCAGCAGTAGGCTACCACTAGTTAACTTTTTGGAGAGTCAAAAGTCATATGCAGAATTTCAACTGTGTTGGGAGGGTCAGAGCGCCTAACCCTCGCATAGTTCAAGGGTCAACTGCATACGCAAAGTGCTTAGCACACTGCTGATACATAGTAGATACACATATACTGTTACAGTAATAATAAAAAGTAATGGGCAAAAAAAGAAAAGTAATGGGCAGATGGCCACTGAAGTTTCAATTGATCTCCCTGAAAGAATGCCATTTTAACTCTGCCCTGTGTTCTCCCCATGGCAGTCCTGAGCCATCACTTTGGTGCCCTGGGTCCTATCAAGGGGCCCTTGAGGGCACTGCACAGTCAAAGCCACATCAGGAGCATGGCCAGGGAGGTCCTGGCCTGGGTCAGATCTCCTTCAGGAAATAAAGGGAGGGGCAGGGTCAGCTTGGAAGGGGCAAGTGTGACATGATGACGAGCTCCTCAGTCCATTTCATTCTTAAATATCTCACTGTTCCAAGAAGCCCATTTCTGCCACCTGAGCCAAGAGAGAGAAGGTCAAGTGAGCAGACATTCATACCCAGTCTGGGATATGAATACCCAGCTGGGTATCCATACCCAGCTACCTGAAGACCCATGTGTGCATTGGAAAGGGAGGAAGGGGCAGGATGGCTTGCATCAGACAGACACAAGGTAAAGGGAATGCCCCCATCAAATGTGGCCTTCACAAACGGACAATGACACCCATTACTGCTCCCTTCCATGTGGCAGAATGACAAATGTAATCATTTTAAAAGGTCCTGTCACCTGTTCAGTCATTCCCAATAAGTACATGCAGCACTATGTAAAAACCAACACCAGCGCCACAGGCTTTCAGGCAGGAAAAAAGTCGAATCACCAAGACCACCAACGAAACTGTCAAAGACATAAAAAGTTTCATGAATTCTCCATCAGCAATATAACGCTTCCTGGCCTAAGCAAATATAGACCCAGCATATGAATTGTGAAGAGATTTTGCATCAGCCTCAATGACTTCAATAGCTGAAGCAGAAACCCCTAAAAAATACATGTCTCCATAAAGCTGTCTCCATTGGCTCTAATCCTGTTAGGGTGAAGATTGTAATCTCCTTCCTGAACCCCCTTGCTCTGATGGAAAGCTTTGAATCCCAGCACCACAAATACATTTCTGTGACCTTAGCTGCAGAGGGGACCTCAGGGAGATGGAAGAGACAGAGTTAGCTATGACCTCGCTGAATGTCTCTCCCTCCCTCTAATGATATTGCTGCTTCTGTGTCTGACCACATGATCAGTTTGGAACATCTCACAACCATCCAGGTAGGCCAGGTCATTTAATCACAGTCAGGCTGAGAGAGCAAGACTGCTCCTCCTTCAGTGAGAAAAAACAAATCAGTGCCCTGCTTTGCAGACAACCCAACTTCAGAATCACTTAGAGAAAGTCTGCTCAGAGCTACTGAACCCTTGAGCATCTGTGGCAGCAGAAAAGTAAGGCGAAAGAGAAAACACCCTGCAAATCTTCTACAAAGAAGAAATGCAAGGAAAATCCAAAAAGAATGTTCTCGGTGTCTTCTGTTAATGGAAATCTGGTTCCTCCTTATAACGCTCACTGAACTTCTCATAGCCTTCCTCCTTCTCAACTGCTGCCCTGCTTTGCTCCCCATGGAGCCCTTAGAAGCCCAAAGGCATAAAAGAATGTAGTTATGGCCATTCGCCCTTTCCCCTGTCCGCCAACACACACATACACAAAATGCATGGCTGGAAAAAGGAATGGTAGCTTAATTTTCCATGTTTTAGCCCAAAAAGAACTCAATTCAGAGCAAACTGCCATCCGCAAACAAATCACTCATGTACCTTTCTCTTCTGATCAGACAACTGCCCTTTCTTTGCTCCTGTAATTTGGGTAGCAATTCCACCGTTCTCCACCCAAGCCTGAGACCACCCAAACTGGCACCGGCCAGTCCAACCTCCACCTTTCTCCAGTCCACCAGCGAGGACTTACCCCAATGTGGTCATGGTGACAATGGTGTACCAGAAAGAGGCGGGGATGCTCGTGAACTTGCTGGCAGAGGAGCCCTTCTCGGCGTAAAACATCACAGTGGCAAAGATGATGATGGCCATGGTGAGGGAGAAGAGGAGAAAGCCGAGCTCAGAGGCGCAGCTCTTCAGTGTGTAGCCCAGGATCCGTAAGCCCTGTGAGTGACGGGAGAACTTGAAGATCCTGAAGACGCGGAAGACCCGGAGCGTGACGAAGGCACCGGACACGTCCTCATTGTTGGTCATGACCAAGCCGATGTAATAGGGCATGATGGCCACCACATCGATGATGCTCATGACGCTGCGGATGAAGCGGTAGCGGCTGGGCGCCGCGAAGAGCCGGAGCAGGTACTCCACGGTGAAGATCATGACGCAGGCCGTGTCCAGGCAAAAGAAGGCCACGGAGTAGCGCTCTCCACACGGCAGCTCCTTGCTCCCGGGCACCGTGCCGCATGGCACTGTCTCCACCACGTTGGTAATGACGGACACGGCGATGAAGAAGCCAGTCACGTAGTAGAAGACCAAGGCCAGCGTGCTGGTGTGCGGGTTCTCGAAGGCCCGCCACATGGTCTGGCGGAAGCTGAGCGAGGGCATGGACTCTTGATTGTTCTCCGAGTCATTGTCGTCCATGAGGCGCTCAGCGTTCTCCCTCTTACGGTCCTTGTACTCCTCGTAACAGCAGTCTCCGATGATCTCCGGGAGGATGCCGTAGAAAGCCAGCTCATCGTCGTAGGCCGAGATGCACTCGTAGCGCGGGTAGTGCAGCTTTCCTGTGCGGTAGAAGTTGAGGACGCACCGGAAGACTTCTGGGTCCCGGTCAAAGAAGTATTCCTTGGTGTCCTCATTGAAGAAGAACTCCTTCTCCGTGCTGCCCAGCAGCGTGTCGGGATAGCGCTCCAGCGTGGTCCGCCAGGTCTGGAACCTCCGCCCACTCACGTTGAGGACGATCAGTTCATCCTGCCGCCTGTTCTTGTCGGCAGGAGCAAGGGGCATGGGGCAGTTGGCTACCGGCATCCATCCAATGGCCGCAGCCCGAGCAAAGGGCAGCCAGGCGGCCACGCCCGCCGCCATGGTGACTCCAGCTCTCTGGCCAGCCCCTGCTCAAATGCTTTGCCACCAGCTTGGAGTTAATGCAGCGACCCCTGGGAGACAGGAGAGAGCAGAAAGCTGGGTTAGTCCATGACTGAGTCCTGGGTAGGAAATGGGACACAGGGAAGGGCCACTGGTGGGTGAAAGAGCAAAAGTCTTGAAGGCAAATTAATTAAACTGAAGTCACCATCCAGAGAGAAGGGACCCTCTCAATTCTTTTCCCGCCCCTGGCAGGGACAAGTGCCTAGCCCTGGGTGCGGCAGGGTGGGGTCATAAGATGTTGTTGACTGCCTGACAAATTGTCAAGTTCCAAGAAGGCCCGGGAGCATTTGGAGGGAAATCCTCTTCATCAGGAAGATCTGGGAAGACGTGGGTAATAATCAGCTCTGAAAGGTTATGGCATTTTTACGATTTAAATTGGGAGAGGGTAAATGAGTTCTCATTAAATGAATTTAAAAGTGGGATAAACACGCTAATTTTTATTTCACTTTTCACCTACCAGTGTAATCAGGATGGGATGTGGATGAGGGAGATAAGGTAAACACATTCTTTCTTCTCCTCACTGTTGAGGAGAAGCCTGGGGCTGCCCATGGCTGGAAAACACTCTGAGATGGCAGGTGACTACAGCAGGCTCAGGGCTTGGAGGAGATTGGTCCGCAGGTCCCATGGAGGAGGCTGTCACTGGTAGAGTGCTACTCTCCAGGACAAGTGGCAACTGGATTCCACTTGCACCCCTTGGAGCCATGACAGGAAAGTGTGGAAACGCGGAAACGCTGTGAGGCTAGGCACATTCCCTTCCCTACAAAAAGGGAGTCTCGGGTTCTTGGCTCACCTGCCTGCCATGCATTTTCCCTCTCTCACCCAAAGGAAGCTGATCCATACTCACTGCCATCTCCAGATTCCTCACCTCCCGTTTCCATCTGCTCACAATCCACAGCTAACCCGGGGTTATATAACAACACTCTTTCCCAAGCCAGCCTGTCACCTGGCCCCACTGCACCCTTGGAGCGTCCCTCCAGGGCTGGGCCACCTTGCCTCTTCACCCACCACTCACCAACTACACCATACACACATCTCATCACCTGCAGGGGTGGGGAGAACAATGGCAGAGAATTATTTTCGGCTTTTGGGAAGCAGATCTACCTTTCCAAATCTGGCTTTTTAAAGATGATACTGAAATGACTCTGAATCCCTAAATGTACACCATCTGCGGGAAGACATGTGGTGACACAGAAACACACGTAGCAGCAATGGGAAATTGTTTGGGGTTCACACACTCATTTTCATTAATCCTAAACTGATCACACAGAACGAATTCTGACTCAGAATTATTTGGACCCTCCGAAATTCAGCCGATTTGATTCTGTGTTTAAATATATGAGGCAGAGGTGAGTTTCGTAATGGAATTTGATCTTCATCTTTCCTTGTAAACCTCCCAACTCTTGTAGGTTTTTCAGATCTCTACCTCCTCTTACTCCTGAGCCGCCACAGGACTTTCCCACCTGGATGCCTCTGAAATTGGACAGGTTTAACTCGTGTGTACCTCCTTACAGAAAGTTGCTCTTCTTCACCTTTTGCTCATGGTATCCCTAATCCCAGGCCTGTCACTTGGACCATCTTCCTCATTGCTTCACCAAAAGAGCTGCCAAATAATGAGATTCTAGCTCTTCTTGTCTTCATTAAGGTCCCAGTTCCCTCAGGCCTCCTGCCCACTGCCCTGCTTGTCTTTATCCTGCCCCTAACCCTGTTTCTCCTGTTCCCCAGAAATCTATTCTGCTCAGAGTAACCTTCCTAAAGCAAAGTTCTGATCATGCTTTAACCTCACAGCCTACAAAATCAAGTCCAAACTGGCCCAGCATTCCAGCATTTCCATAAGCAAATCCTGGCTTACCATTCCAGCCCAAGGTCTCAAGCACCCTTCCCAGCTTCCGGCAACAAGACCACAGACTGGCGCATGCGCAGACCTCATGAGAGACTGTCTCTGGACACTCTGCTTGTATTGGGAATATGCTTCCCCTTCAGCCCTCCGTCAGAATCCCACGGGTCCCTCACCCTCTCTATGGAGCCCCACAATGAAATTCTCTGGCCCTTTGGGCTCTGGACATTTTGTCCCTCTTCTCGAGCACCCATTGCCCTCTGGCCTGGATTAGAGACCTTTCTGCCTGTCTTATTAGTAACTGTGGCTAACAATGATTGAGAACTTACTCTATGCCAGGCGCTGCACTAACTGTCTCCTGTGGATCATCTCATGGAATCCTCACAGTGACCTATGGAAGACGTCTGTGATTCAGCAGTCTGCCAGCCGGAAAGGGGCGGAAGAGGGATCCCACCTAGATAGTCTGACCTCACGCCACATGCCCTGAAGCATTGTGCTACACAACTTCTCAAGATCTTCCTGGAAACAGAAGAACAGCAGCTGATGTTAAATGAGGGCTAACTGTACGCCAGGCACAGAACCACATGCTTACATGGACTATCTCACCCAACCCCACTCTAGGGGGTAGATACCAGTGTTGTCCACATTCTGCAGATGAGGAAGATGAAGCATGAAGAGTTATAACAACTGGCTAAAGGATGTAATAAGTAGGCAGAGAGATTTACACCCAGGCAGTCTCAATGGGCAGTTAAAGGGTACAGCCCTGCTTTCCCCACCCCACACTAAGTTCTTTGAGTGTCAAGGTCATGATGCCTCAATTTTCGCATGACATCTCAGTGCACTGCAGCAGCAGGTGCTCAAACTGGGAATCCTGACTGTATAGATGCCACTTGCCTTCCACTTGCAAATGTATTTCAGGGGTTTTCAAGGGTAAACATTCTCTCTCCATAAAGACAGTAAACTCTGAAGACAGATTTGAATCAAAAGAATCCAATTTAAGTGCCTCTGAGCCAAATTTTCTCAAGGAGCCAATCTCTGCCTCAGTTTCCTCATCTGCATGCTAAGAAGAATATTCACAGGTCCCTCCACTCCTTCATAAGGGAGGTTGGTTCAGATGCTACAGAAGACAACAGGAATGACAATGACATTTCCTGTAAATGTCACCACTGAGAGAACAGAAAAACAGCACAGGCCTGATGAGCTCTTGATTACAGGAACTGAGGAAAGAATAGGGGGATTGTTCATGGCTGTGGGCAATCGACATGCCACTGACAGAAGATTTGGGAACACATCAAATGCATTTTATATCTTACTTCAAGAAATGTACCCTTAAAACTCCCTATGCTTCCTCTAACTTACTAGGAGAGAATTGCAGTGCCTCAGCACACACTTAGCATGGCTTTCTAAGGAGCAAGGGAAGTTTGGGGAGCATGCCCACAATTTAAACATTGGTCACAGATAATTCCGGTTCAGATTTAGTTAACATTTACTGAGCATTGACAATGCTTTGGCCACTATTTTCGGCACTTTTACAGCAACATTTAATTTATCCCCACAAAAATCCTATGACTAGGACATTTCTGCTCACAAGTTTCAGGCAAGGAGCTGAGACTCAGAGAGATTCTTTCAAAGTGACTAAATTCCATGTATATGGGAGTAGATAATTATCAAACAGACCACTGACCAGCTCACTGCCAAATGGCTCTTCTGACCTGCATGTAGCTGGAAACTGATATCCTCCACAGAAGAGAAAGGGATGCAGAGACTCCCCTCCCCCCATCCCTAAGCAGCAAAGAGCCTAGGGTCAAGGAGGCCCTGCACCCCAGTTTTAATTTCCCCTGAACTTCTGAAAACAAGCCATCATCACCATCTGGACCTCAAGACTCTTCATCTGTAAAAATGGGTTATTGGACAAGAAAGTGACAAGGAGCCCTTTAGTTCACATAATTCTCAAGGATATCAAGGCTGTAGCTCAGGTCTCATTGAGACCTCTTCATGACAATCCCCCATGAAAAGCAAGAAGCAGAGCATCTAGATTTGTTGTTGTGGGGATGGAGTTAGCCTTAGCTTCATCTTAGCGAAGGCAATTCTGGGAATTCCTGATCAGGCTGGTGCCCAGAAAAGGGCATACAATTTGCACCTCTCAGAACTCAAGGCAGTCTAAGGATGGGTCACCCACAGAACCTCTGACAATTCTCCCTAGAGGTTCAAGGGGACTAATACCCCTGCTTTCTCCCAGAATGGATCTTAGAGAGTCAAGGCTTCTAGTGATGAAGAATAGAGACTGCTGGGCCAGGAGGCATGCTGGAGGCCCCTGCTTGGGCCAGACATGCAGCTCTGCATCCAGGGAGGACAATGGCCTTCCGTTTCCATTTTCCCAGTACAGTGCCATCCTGACTCTCAAGCTTCAATGCCTGGAACCTGCCCCTGCCAACTGAGCCCCATCGCCTCACCCTTCCCACCCTACTCCAATCCCTTCTTCTCCAAGGGCCGTGGGTGTTTTACAAGATGCTTTCAGTTAAGTAGTGGTACTTATCTGAAATACTTGAGAGCTGGGTAAGGAAAAACAACCCCTCTGCATCTACCTTAAAAGCCTCTGGTCCCAAGGCCAAACATTCACCCTGTGTATTAATCCAGGACAACCTTTCCCAAGAAAGCCCGGGATGAGCCACACTGTCTCCAGAGGGTCAAGCCCTGTTCCCCTGACAAAAGGTACCCCCGCAGAAGGAATAATTATTCCACTGCTACTCTGTGTGTGTGTGGGGGGGGAGGTGGGGAGGGCTTGGAAAGGGAGGGAAAGTGCCCCACTAGATATCATGCCCAAGGCCGCACCAGCCATGGCCTCCACACAATGCTGCAGGTGTGACCCAGCTCAAGTAGGGCTTCTCTATGGCGCTCCCTGGGGCACTGGCCCCCTGACGGGCACCACCGCCTCCTGGAGGTGATCTGGGTATGAGTTTCTGCAACAGGCATAACAGTGCGGCCCCATTTCCAGCCAATGGCACTGCGCATGCCTCAAATGCCAAGGTTTTACTAGGACGTGGACGCCTTACAAATGAAAAATCTGAAGCTATTTTTGTTTTTGGCAGAAGAATTTGACAGTGGGAAAGATGGGGGTGCGGGGAGGCTGGGGATGAGACATTTAAAACAGGTGAGTGCTGAAATGACAAAGGCAAAAATCCTGGAAAAGGGAAACACATTTTCTCCTGCTGTAAAGTCAGCCCTGTTACACAGCTTCTGTTTGGGAGGTAGAGGGTGAAAAGTAGGCAAAGTAATCAGACAGCCTGTCCTGGGGATTGACAGCTAACCTGAGCACAGGCACAGGCAGTAAAATGTCACATCACCAAGGTCTGCCCTTCTGTGACCTCAGCAGAGCACTGCAGAGGGGCAGTCTCTGGAAACGTACTTTCTACAATTTTACATCACATCACTTAGACCACAGTGGGGCCAGTGAGGGGAGTGGGATGTCCTGACATTCCAGAGGGCTTTCGCCTGCGCCCACAGGGTCTGGGGAAGCAGGCATGAAATTGACAGGGTTCCAAGCTTGGGATCTTGGGGTGCAGGCCTAGGACACACAGAGAGATCCTGTTTTCCCACAGTGCCACTCCTAGGCTGGCCAGGGCACTTTCCTGAACTCTTTTTCTCCAACCTCCTTGACACCAAAAGGTAACAAGCTACTAATCTTTCTTCCTCTGGAGGTCCCTTGTGTACTTGCATTTAGTTGCATCCAGGGACAAGGAAAAATGAACACATCAGTTCTTGTCTCCGTGCCAACATGTCCACATGGGTAAATGTACACATGCTTTGCATTGAATTCATGCACACTCAAGTCCCCTTTCTATATACATTAAACATCCAGGTTCCCTTGAAGTGAAAGTAAATGAGGAGTACATTTAATAACCATCAGGTACATTCATGCAAAATACCAACATGCACCATATAGCAACCTGTGCCAGGTCTTACAGACTGCATTGTGCCTAGGATTACAGGAAAGTTCAGACACCATCTCTTAAATACAAGGAAGCCTTCTCTTTGCCGTAAGATTCCAGGTCCGAAACCTCAGCCTGTTGCTGACATATCACGGCTGCCCGGGATAAAAGCAGAACGAACATCTTGGACTTGATTCAAATGTCAACACTAAGTAAGTGCAGGAATTTAGGTGATTCCAGGTAACTTCTCTGCCCAGTCCCTTCCACGCCCCAAACCCAGTGCAAACACCTCACAAAGTGAGTCTTTCGAACCCCCTCTCTGGGGCTGCGTTGACTCCGTGTTACTTAGAGACCTTTCCCAGAGCTCTTAGGGTGGAAGTGGCCTCAGGCAGGGCCAGATGTGTGGGCCTCCAACCCTTGGTAGGGCACCGCCTCTGGTAGGTTTGTCGAGCTGGAGAACTTTGTGAAGCGCCCCAAACTGCTCCGAGCTTCCGCCCTCAGCCATTTCTCTCCTTCTCTCCTCACAAAGAGCGGAGGACCCAGCAAGCCGTCGCCACCTGCCGCCGGATTCCGGGGCGCTGCTTCTGGCACCCCAAGGGAAGGCAGGCCAATGGAAAGAGGGCAGAGGTTCACACCCCCACCCCCAGACCTCACGTCGCCTTGCTTGACGGAGGTGGCTCCACAGCCGGAGGGAACCGACGCCCCCGGGCCGGCTGCCTGCTCCCCCCACGGCGCCGGCCCCACCCCCAATCCTTCCGGCGGCGCCCCAGCGCCCACCCACCCGGGCGCGGGAGTGGGAGGGTGCCGCGTGGGCACCTGGAGCAACAGGCGTGGGAGCAGCGCTCCTCGCACTTCCTGGCTCCAGAAGGCTCGGTTGCGTCCCTCTTACCTTCGGCGAAGCAAGCCCCGGGCCCCGCGCCCTGCACCCCGCGCGCGTGGGGAAGCTGCGGCCGGGAACCGGGGACCGCGGAGGCGCCGAGCGCCCAGCAGCGCGGGGAAGCGCCCAGCAGCGTCCGCTCGCGCGACTCCTCGCCGGCGAAGTCTCGCTCGCTCCCTCCCTCGCTCGGTCCGTTAGTGCATCCGTCGGTCCGTGGGGTCCTCCCTCCCCCGCCGCCGCCGCTGCCGCCGCCACCGCCGCTCCAGCCCCGGCTCGGCAGCGCGTCCCTCCCCGCCTCGCCGCTCCGCTCGCGGGCTCGCGGGCTCCCTCGCTAGCTCCTTGCCCCCGCCGCTGCCGGCGCCGCGCGGAGCGGAGCCCGGCGGGCCACGGGCTGCCTAGCGAGGTCCCTCTCGCGAAGGGGGAGGCGGTGGGGGCGCGGGGCGGGCGGGGCGGATATGACACCCATTACTGCTCCCTTCCATGTGGCAGAATGACAAATGTAATCATTTTAAAAGGTCCTGTCACCTGTTCAGTCATTCCCAATAAGTACATGCAGCACTATGTAAAAACCAACACCAGCGCCACAGGCTTTCAGGCAGGAAAAAAGTCAAATCACCAAGACCACCAACGAAACTGTCAAAGACATAAAAAGTTTCATGAATTCTCCATCAGCAATATAACGCTTCCTGGCCTAAGCAAATATAGACCCAGCATATGAATTGTGAAGAGATTTTGCATCAGCCTCAATGACTTCAATAGCTGAAGCAGAAACCCCTAAAAAATACATGTCTCCATAAAGCTGTCTCCATTGGCTCTAATCCTGTTAGGGTGAAGATTGTAATCTCCTTCCTGAACCCCCTTGCTCTGATGGAAAGCTTTGAATCCCAGCACCACAAATACATTTCTGTGACCTTAGCTGCAGAGGGGACCTCAGGGAGATGGAAGAGACAGAGTTAGCTATGACCTCGCTGAATGTCTCTCCCTCCCTCTAATGATATTGCTGCTTCTGTGTCTGACCACATGATCAGTTTGGAACATCTCACAACCATCCAGGTAGGCCAGGTCATTTAATCACAGTCAGGCTGAGAGAGCAAGACTGCTCCTCCTTCAGTGAGAAAAAACAAATCAGTGCCCTGCTTTGCAGACAACCCAACTTCAGAATCACTTAGAGAAAGTCTGCTCAGAGCTACTGAACCCTTGAGCATCTGTGGCAGCAGAAAAGTAAGGCGAAAGAGAAAACACCCTGCAAATCTTCTACAAAGAAGAAATGCAAGGAAAATCCAAAAAGAATGTTCTCGGTGTCTTCTGTTAATGGAAATCTGGTTCCTCCTTATAACGCTCACTGAACTTCTCATAGCCTTCCTCCTTCTCAACTGCTGCCCTGCTTTGCTCCCCATGGAGCCCTTAGAAGCCCAAAGGCATAAAAGAATGTAGTTATGGCCATTCGCCCTTTCCCCTGTCCGCCAACACACACATACACAAAATGCATGGCTGGAAAAAGGAATGGTAGCTTAATTTTCCATGTTTTAGCCCAAAAAGAACTCAATTCAGAGCAAACTGCCATCCGCAAACAAATCACTCATGTACCTTTCTCTTCTGATCAGACAACTGCCCTTTCTTTGCTCCTGTAATTTGGGTAGCAATTCCACCGTTCTCCACCCAAGCCTGAGACCACCCAAACTGGCACCGGCCAGTCCAACCTCCACCTTTCTCCAGTCCACCAGCGAGGACTTACCCCAATGTGGTCATGGTGACAATGGTGTACCAGAAAGAGGCGGGGATGCTCGTGAACTTGCTGGCAGAGGAGCCCTTCTCGGCGTAAAACATCACAGTGGCAAAGATGATGATGGCCATGGTGAGGGAGAAGAGGAGAAAGCCGAGCTCAGAGGCGCAGCTCTTCAGTGTGTAGCCCAGGATCCGTAAGCCCTGTGAGTGACGGGAGAACTTGAAGATCCTGAAGACGCGGAAGACCCGGAGCGTGACGAAGGCACCGGACACGTCCTCATTGTTGGTCATGACCAAGCCGATGTAATAGGGCATGATGGCCACCACATCGATGATGCTCATGACGCTGCGGATGAAGCGGTAGCGGCTGGGCGCCGCGAAGAGCCGGAGCAGGTACTCCACGGTGAAGATCATGACGCAGGCCGTGTCCAGGCAAAAGAAGGCCACGGAGTAGCGCTCTCCACACGGCAGCTCCTTGCTCCCGGGCACCGTGCCGCATGGCACTGTCTCCACCACGTTGGTAATGACGGACACGGCGATGAAGAAGCCAGTCACGTAGTAGAAGACCAAGGCCAGCGTGCTGGTGTGCGGGTTCTCGAAGGCCCGCCACATGGTCTGGCGGAAGCTGAGCGAGGGCATGGACTCTTGATTGTTCTCCGAGTCATTGTCGTCCATGAGGCGCTCAGCGTTCTCCCTCTTACGGTCCTTGTACTCCTCGTAACAGCAGTCTCCGATGATCTCCGGGAGGATGCCGTAGAAAGCCAGCTCATCGTCGTAGGCCGAGATGCACTCGTAGCGCGGGTAGTGCAGCTTTCCTGTGCGGTAGAAGTTGAGGACGCACCGGAAGACTTCTGGGTCCCGGTCAAAGAAGTATTCCTTGGTGTCCTCATTGAAGAAGAACTCCTTCTCCGTGCTGCCCAGCAGCGTGTCGGGATAGCGCTCCAGCGTGGTCCGCCAGGTCTGGAACCTCCGCCCACTCACGTTGAGGACGATCAGTTCATCCTGCCGCCTGTTCTTGTCGGCAGGAGCAAGGGGCATGGGGCAGTTGGCTACCGGCATCCATCCAATGGCCGCAGCCCGAGCAAAGGGCAGCCAGGCGGCCACGCCCGCCGCCATGGTGACTCCAGCTCTCTGGCCAGCCCCTGCTCAAATGCTTTGCCACCAGCTTGGAGTTAATGCAGCGACCCCTGGGAGACAGGAGAGAGCAGAAAGCTGGGTTAGTCCATGACTGAGTCCTGGGTAGGAAATGGGACACAGGGAAGGGCCACTGGTGGGTGAAAGAGCAAAAGTCTTGAAGGCAAATTAATTAAACTGAAGTCACCATCCAGAGAGAAGGGACCCTCTCAATTCTTTTCCCGCCCCTGGCAGGGACAAGTGCCTAGCCCTGGGTGCGGCAGGGTGGGGTCATAAGATGTTGTTGACTGCCTGACAAATTGTCAAGTTCCAAGAAGGCCCGGGAGCATTTGGAGGGAAATCCTCTTCATCAGGAAGATCTGGGAAGACGTGGGTAATAATCAGCTCTGAAAGGTTATGGCATTTTTACGATTTAAATTGGGAGAGGGTAAATGAGTTCTCATTAAATGAATTTAAAAGTGGGATAAACACGCTAATTTTTATTTCACTTTTCACCTACCAGTGTAATCAGGATGGGATGTGGATGAGGGAGATAAGGTAAACACATTCTTTCTTCTCCTCACTGTTGAGGAGAAGCCTGGGGCTGCCCATGGCTGGAAAACACTCTGAGATGGCAGGTGACTACAGCAGGCTCAGGGCTTGGAGGAGATTGGTCCGCAGGTCCCATGGAGGAGGCTGTCACTGGTAGAGTGCTACTCTCCAGGACAAGTGGCAACTGGATTCCACTTGCACCCCTTGGAGCCATGACAGGAAAGTGTGGAAACGCGGAAACGCTGTGAGGCTAGGCACATTCCCTTCCCTACAAAAAGGGAGTCTCGGGTTCTTGGCTCACCTGCCTGCCATGCATTTTCCCTCTCTCACCCAAAGGAAGCTGATCCATACTCACTGCCATCTCCAGATTCCTCACCTCCCGTTTCCATCTGCTCACAATCCACAGCTAACCCGGGGTTATATAACAACACTCTTTCCCAAGCCAGCCTGTCACCTGGCCCCACTGCACCCTTGGAGCGTCCCTCCAGGGCTGGGCCACCTTGCCTCTTCACCCACCACTCACCAACTACACCATACACACATCTCATCACCTGCAGGGGTGGGGAGAACAATGGCAGAGAATTATTTTCGGCTTTTGGGAAGCAGATCTACCTTTCCAAATCTGGCTTTTTAAAGATGATACTGAAATGACTCTGAATCCCTAAATGTACACCATCTGCGGGAAGACATGTGGTGACACAGAAACACACGTAGCAGCAATGGGAAATTGTTTGGGGTTCACACACTCATTTTCATTAATCCTAAACTGATCACACAGAACGAATTCTGACTCAGAATTATTTGGACCCTCCGAAATTCAGCCGATTTGATTCTGTGTTTAAATATATGAGGCAGAGGTGAGTTTCGTAATGGAATTTGATCTTCATCTTTCCTTGTAAACCTCCCAACTCTTGTAGGTTTTTCAGATCTCTACCTCCTCTTACTCCTGAGCCGCCACAGGACTTTCCCACCTGGATGCCTCTGAAATTGGACAGGTTTAACTCGTGTGTACCTCCTTACAGAAAGTTGCTCTTCTTCACCTTTTGCTCATGGTATCCCTAATCCCAGGCCTGTCACTTGGACCATCTTCCTCATTGCTTCACCAAAAGAGCTGCCAAATAATGAGATTCTAGCTCTTCTTGTCTTCATTAAGGTCCCAGTTCCCTCAGGCCTCCTGCCCACTGCCCTGCTTGTCTTTATCCTGCCCCTAACCCTGTTTCTCCTGTTCCCCAGAAATCTATTCTGCTCAGAGTAACCTTCCTAAAGCAAAGTTCTGATCATGCTTTAACCTCACAGCCTACAAAATCAAGTCCAAACTGGCCCAGCATTCCAGCATTTCCATAAGCAAATCCTGGCTTACCATTCCAGCCCAAGGTCTCAAGCACCCTTCCCAGCTTCCGGCAACAAGACCACAGACTGGCGCATGCGCAGACCTCATGAGAGACTGTCTCTGGACACTCTGCTTGTATTGGGAATATGCTTCCCCTTCAGCCCTCCGTCAGAATCCCACGGGTCCCTCACCCTCTCTATGGAGCCCCACAATGAAATTCTCTGGCCCTTTGGGCTCTGGACATTTTGTCCCTCTTCTCGAGCACCCATTGCCCTCTGGCCTGGATTAGAGACCTTTCTGCCTGTCTTATTAGTAACTGTGGCTAACAATGATTGAGAACTTACTCTATGCCAGGCGCTGCACTAACTGTCTCCTGTGGATCATCTCATGGAATCCTCACAGTGACCTATGGAAGACGTCTGTGATTCAGCAGTCTGCCAGCCGGAAAGGGGCGGAAGAGGGATCCCACCTAGATAGTCTGACCTCACGCCACATGCCCTGAAGCATTGTGCTACACAACTTCTCAAGATCTTCCTGGAAACAGAAGAACAGCAGCTGATGTTAAATGAGGGCTAACTGTACGCCAGGCACAGAACCACATGCTTACATGGACTATCTCACCCAACCCCACTCTAGGGGGTAGATACCAGTGTTGTCCACATTCTGCAGATGAGGAAGATGAAGCATGAAGAGTTATAACAACTGGCTAAAGGATGTAATAAGTAGGCAGAGAGATTTACACCCAGGCAGTCTCAATGGGCAGTTAAAGGGTACAGCCCTGCTTTCCCCACCCCACACTAAGTTCTTTGAGTGTCAAGGTCATGATGCCTCAATTTTCGCATGACATCTCAGTGCACTGCAGCAGCAGGTGCTCAAACTGGGAATCCTGACTGTATAGATGCCACTTGCCTTCCACTTGCAAATGTATTTCAGGGGTTTTCAAGGGTAAACATTCTCTCTCCATAAAGACAGTAAACTCTGAAGACAGATTTGAATCAAAAGAATCCAATTTAAGTGCCTCTGAGCCAAATTTTCTCAAGGAGCCAATCTCTGCCTCAGTTTCCTCATCTGCATGCTAAGAAGAATATTCACAGGTCCCTCCACTCCTTCATAAGGGAGGTTGGTTCAGATGCTACAGAAGACAACAGGAATGACAATGACATTTCCTGTAAATGTCACCACTGAGAGAACAGAAAAACAGCACAGGCCTGATGAGCTCTTGATTACAGGAACTGAGGAAAGAATAGGGGGATTGTTCATGGCTGTGGGCAATCGACATGCCACTGACAGAAGATTTGGGAACACATCAAATGCATTTTATATCTTACTTCAAGAAATGTACCCTTAAAACTCCCTATGCTTCCTCTAACTTACTAGGAGAGAATTGCAGTGCCTCAGCACACACTTAGCATGGCTTTCTAAGGAGCAAGGGAAGTTTGGGGAGCATGCCCACAATTTAAACATTGGTCACAGATAATTCCGGTTCAGATTTAGTTAACATTTACTGAGCATTGACAATGCTTTGGCCACTATTTTCGGCACTTTTACAGCAACATTTAATTTATCCCCACAAAAATCCTATGACTAGGACATTTCTGCTCACAAGTTTCAGGCAAGGAGCTGAGACTCAGAGAGATTCTTTCAAAGTGACTAAATTCCATGTATATGGGAGTAGATAATTATCAAACAGACCACTGACCAGCTCACTGCCAAATGGCTCTTCTGACCTGCATGTAGCTGGAAACTGATATCCTCCACAGAAGAGAAAGGGATGCAGAGACTCCCCTCCCCCCATCCCTAAGCAGCAAAGAGCCTAGGGTCAAGGAGGCCCTGCACCCCAGTTTTAATTTCCCCTGAACTTCTGAAAACAAGCCATCATCACCATCTGGACCTCAAGACTCTTCATCTGTAAAAATGGGTTATTGGACAAGAAAGTGACAAGGAGCCCTTTAGTTCACATAATTCTCAAGGATATCAAGGCTGTAGCTCAGGTCTCATTGAGACCTCTTCATGACAATCCCCCATGAAAAGCAAGAAGCAGAGCATCTAGATTTGTTGTTGTGGGGATGGAGTTAGCCTTAGCTTCATCTTAGCGAAGGCAATTCTGGGAATTCCTGATCAGGCTGGTGCCCAGAAAAGGGCATACAATTTGCACCTCTCAGAACTCAAGGCAGTCTAAGGATGGGTCACCCACAGAACCTCTGACAATTCTCCCTAGAGGTTCAAGGGGACTAATACCCCTGCTTTCTCCCAGAATGGATCTTAGAGAGTCAAGGCTTCTAGTGATGAAGAATAGAGACTGCTGGGCCAGGAGGCATGCTGGAGGCCCCTGCTTGGGCCAGACATGCAGCTCTGCATCCAGGGAGGACAATGGCCTTCCGTTTCCATTTTCCCAGTACAGTGCCATCCTGACTCTCAAGCTTCAATGCCTGGAACCTGCCCCTGCCAACTGAGCCCCATTGCCTCACCCTTCCCACCCTACTCCAATCCCTTCTTCTCCAAGGGCCGTGGGTGTTTTACAAGATGCTTTCAGTTAAGTAGTGGTACTTATCTGAAATACTTGAGAGCTGGGTAAGGAAAAACAACCCCTCTGCATCTACCTTAAAAGCCTCTGGTCCCAAGGCCAAACATTCACCCTGTGTATTAATCCAGGACAACCTTTCCCAAGAAAGCCCGGGATGAGCCACACTGTCTCCAGAGGGTCAAGCCCTGTTCCCCTGACAAAAGGTACCCCCGCAGAAGGAATAATTATTCCACTGCTACTCTGTGTGTGTGTGGGGGGGGAGGTGGGGAGGGCTTGGAAAGGGAGGGAAAGTGCCCCACTAGATATCATGCCCAAGGCCGCACCAGCCATGGCCTCCACACAATGCTGCAGGTGTGACCCAGCTCAAGTAGGGCTTCTCTATGGCGCTCCCTGGGGCACTGGCCCCCTGACGGGCACCACCGCCTCCTGGAGGTGATCTGGGTATGAGTTTCTGCAACAGGCATAACAGTGCGGCCCCATTTCCAGCCAATGGCACTGCGCATGCCTCAAATGCCAAGGTTTTACTAGGACGTGGACGCCTTACAAATGAAAAATCTGAAGCTATTTTTGTTTTTGGCAGAAGAATTTGACAGTGGGAAAGATGGGGGTGCGGGGAGGCTGGGGATGAGACATTTAAAACAGGTGAGTGCTGAAATGACAAAGGCAAAAATCCTGGAAAAGGGAAACACATTTTCTCCTGCTGTAAAGTCAGCCCTGTTACACAGCTTCTGTTTGGGAGGTAGAGGGTGAAAAGTAGGCAAAGTAATCAGACAGCCTGTCCTGGGGATTGACAGCTAACCTGAGCACAGGCACAGGCAGTAAAATGTCACATCACCAAGGTCTGCCCTTCTGTGACCTCAGCAGAGCACTGCAGAGGGGCAGTCTCTGGAAACGTACTTTCTACAATTTTACATCACATCACTTAGACCACAGTGGGGCCAGTGAGGGGAGTGGGATGTCCTGACATTCCAGAGGGCTTTCGCCTGCGCCCACAGGGTCTGGGGAAGCAGGCATGAAATTGACAGGGTTCCAAGCTTGGGATCTTGGGGTGCAGGCCTAGGACATACAGAGAGATCCTGTTTTCCCACAGTGCCACTCCTAGGCTGGCCAGGGCACTTTCCTGAACTCTTTTTCTCCAACCTCCTTGACACCAAAAGGTAACAAGCTACTAATCTTTCTTCCTCTGGAGGTCCCTTGTGTACTTGCATTTAGTTGCATCCAGGGACAAGGAAAAATGAACACATCAGTTCTTGTCTCCGTGCCAACATGTCCACATGGGTAAATGTACACATGCTTTGCATTGAATTCATGCACACTCAAGTCCCCTTTCTATATACATTAAACATCCAGGTTCCCTTGAAGTGAAAGTAAATGAGGAGTACATTTAATAACCATCAGGTACATTCATGCAAAATACCAACATGCACCATATAGCAACCTGTGCCAGGTCTTACAGACTGCATTGTGCCTAGGATTACAGGAAAGTTCAGACACCATCTCTTAAATACAAGGAAGCCTTCTCTTTGCCGTAAGATTCCAGGTCCGAAACCTCAGCCTGTTGCTGACATATCACGGCTGCCCGGGATAAAAGCAGAACGAACATCTTGGACTTGATTCAAATGTCAACACTAAGTAAGTGCAGGAATTTAGGTGATTCCAGGTAACTTCTCTGCCCAGTCCCTTCCACGCCCCAAACCCAGTGCAAACACCTCACAAAGTGAGTCTTTCGAACCCCCTCTCTGGGGCTGCGTTGACTCCGTGTTACTTAGAGACCTTTCCCAGAGCTCTTAGGGTGGAAGTGGCCTCAGGCAGGGCCAGATGTGTGGGCCTCCAACCCTTGGTAGGGCACCGCCTCTGGTAGGTTTGTCGAGCTGGAGAACTTTGTGAAGCGCCCCAAACTGCTCCGAGCTTCCGCCCTCAGCCATTTCTCTCCTTCTCTCCTCACAAAGAGCGGAGGACCCAGCAAGCCGTCGCCACCTGCCGCCGGATTCCGGGGCGCTGCTTCTGGCACCCCAAGGGAAGGCAGGCCAATGGAAAGAGGGCAGAGGTTCACACCCCCACCCCCAGACCTCACGTCGCCTTGCTTGACGGAGGTGGCTCCACAGCCGGAGGGAACCGACGCCCCCGGGCCGGCTGCCTGCTCCCCCCACGGCGCCGGCCCCACCCCCAATCCTTCCGGCGGCGCCCCAGCGCCCACCCACCCGGGCGCGGGAGTGGGAGGGTGCCGCGTGGGCACCTGGAGCAACAGGCGTGGGAGCAGCGCTCCTCGCACTTCCTGGCTCCAGAAGGCTCGGTTGCGTCCCTCTTACCTTCGGCGAAGCAAGCCCCGGGCCCCGCGCCCTGCACCCCGCGCGCGTGGGGAAGCTGCGGCCGGGAACCGGGGACCGCGGAGGCGCCGAGCGCCCAGCAGCGCGGGGAAGCGCCCAGCAGCGTCCGCTCGCGCGACTCCTCGCCGGCGAAGTCTCGCTCGCTCCCTCCCTCGCTCGGTCCGTTAGTGCATCCGTCGGTCCGTGGGGTCCTCCCTCCCCCGCCGCCGCCGCTGCCGCCGCCACCGCCGCTCCAGCCCCGGCTCGGCAGCGCGTCCCTCCCCGCCTCGCCGCTCCGCTCGCGGGCTCGCGGGCTCCCTCGCTAGCTCCTTGCCCCCGCCGCTGCCGGCGCCGCGCGGAGCGGAGCCCGGCGGGCCACGGGCTGCCTAGCGAGGTCCCTCTCGCGAAGGGGGAGGCGGTGGGGGCGCGGGGCGGGCGGGGCGGAAAGGAGAGTCCAGGGGAGGCGGCGAGGCTGCGCCCTCCGCTCCCTAACGATCCCCGCCGGTCAGGCGGCTCCAGGCCCCGTTCTAGACCGCGGGCCGCCAGGCAGCGGAGGGAGAGATGAGCAGGACCCGGAGGCTTGCCGCGGGAGGGTGCCCAGGGCGAGGGCGTGCGAGGGGGAGTGACTATCCGCGCGAGGGTGTGTGTATGTGTGTGAGAGTGAGTGAGTGTGTGTGTGTGTGTGTGTGTGTGTGTGTGTGTGTGTGTGTGTGTGTAGAGGGGCGCGCGCGTGAGCTGGGGGCGGGGAGCGGGGAGACGAGGCACAGACTGGTGCGTCTCCCCGGCGAGTGGAGGACTCCTAGGGTGTGCCTGGAGGTGGCGGAGTGTGCCGACGCTGGTGTGAGCGCGTGTGCCGGCGAGGGTGGGCCCGGGGGTGAGCGTGGCAAGGTGAGCTCGGCTTGGGGGTGGGAGCGGAGTGGGGAATAGGCATGAATGTAAGCTCCGGGGCGTGCTTGCCGGGGACCCGGGAAGACGTGGCAGGGAGCGTCCGTGTGTGCCCCGTAGGGACCGAGCTGGGTGTCTCTTATCGACTGTCCACGCGGCACCAGCACTTGCTTGCGGCCGAGCCATGGCACCCGGTGAGGTGGAGCCCGCCACTGTCGAAGCTTCCCGGCTCGCCGCGGCTCTCAGCTCCTGGTGCTGGGGCTGGAGAGATCCCGGGGAACATACTACCCTCACCCCACGTGAGAACTGCTCTCCTCTCAGAGCGCTAGGGGTACGACCCAAAGGTAGGGATTCGCTCACCTATCCCTCCACGTGTACCCGGGACCCAGATCCTAGAGTCCGGACTTGGGAGAATAACTCTCGACCCGCGTCCGCCAGTCCCTTGGCCCTCCCTCAAAGCCCATGGGTCCCCACTGGCCCGAGCCTTGGCCCAGGGTGGGGGGCGCGCGGGCGGCACCTGCCCACTGGGCCTGGCGGATGGAGCCGTTGAGCATCTCCGGAGCCTGGTGTCGGGATCAGACTCCCAAACTACCCGCTGCGGCGCGCAGAGGGTTCAGTCTCTGCCTAGTGCTGATCACGGCTCCAGCCTCCGCGTGTCTCCGGGCTGGGAGTCCGAAATCCCGGGATCTCCGCTTGGCGGTTGGGAGGAGAGGTGGTTCCGAGGTTCAGCAGGGACGGGAACGTTTGTGCGATCTCAGTTCTGTGGCTGGAGGAGAGTTGTGTGTCTGAGACAGACGAGGAGAAAAGCAAAGTGTGCAGAGAAGGGGAGGATGTACTTGAAAGGTCAGTTCTGGCCCAGTGTCTGGGAAAGAACCTTAGTTTAGAGCAGGGCCTCTGGCTTGTGAGACCCTCCTACTCCTGTTCCAGATTGGGCTGGGGTGGTGGCACGGTGGTGGTCGGAATCACTGTGTGCAGGCCCTTCTTTCATTCACTCCTCCCATTCTCCCCAAAGACCCCCTTCAGTGTGTCAGTCTGATAGGCATACCTTTGGCCCTTCAAGAGGTGGGGTGGGCCTCATTAGCATTTGCCCGGAGTCCCAGAGCGGTGTGAGATTTGCATACTTATTTGCATACAGTAATAATGATTAACAACACTGCCACTCCCTGGCAGACAGGGGAAGAATTCAGGGAAGGCCCTGGCACTGCTCCTACCTCCCTTCCTCCCTTCCCTTTGGAATAGAGCTAATTTTCTCCCAGCTGCTGACCTCAACTCTTCTGACCCTTGGGAGTGCCTCAGTCTCTCCGCGGGCAGGTCCAGGGAGGGACATTTTCCTGGGGTCCTCCACCCCATGTCCAATGTGGGAGAGTTAAAACCTATTATTTTATTTCTGTTAATGTTTTGAACTCCTGTTCATTCCCACCTTTGTTTTGGGGGTTAGCCCAGGGTCTGGGTTTGCCCCAAAGCTTGAAGGCTTCTCAGAACCATTAATGGGGACATCCTTCTTCCTCCCAAGAGGTCATTTAATGGATAACTGTGCTCACCTATGCCTTGTAAGCCTTGTTGAAGACAGGACACGGGTTGAGACACCATCCCTTTACCCCCCCATGGTGGCCCTCATACCCCACACCTGGACCCCATTCCTCCCAAGCTGGCATCTCATCACTTAAGTGAAGTAGCTGTAGATTAATATTCTTTCTGTAAAGAAGACCTAGAGGAAAACATGAAAGACTTAAATTTCTAGTTGGGGCCAATGTGGTTTTTATTTACCAGGCCTTCTCACACCCAGGTGACCTGGAAAATAAGAAAGAGCAAGTGATGGGCAGAAAAGAGGCCCCTTGACTCTAGCAGCTGGAGGAGCCACTGCCCAGGAGATGCTGTTCCTCTCACCTGCCCTCCATCGCATCCCCAGCACAGCCACTTTCCAGACTGCCTGGCCTCACCTACCCCACTCTGCCTCTGGTCTGGCCTGGCCGGGATTTTTCACTTGCTTTTCCCCCATGACACGACCGCTTTTCCTTTAACTCTAAGTGTCTATTTAAAAAGCTAATTTGGGAGCTTGTCTATGTTCCCAATTCAGACATTTTAAATAGGAACTGAAAGTCAGGAGCTGCCAAGGCACTAGATTTCTTCCCCTTGCCACCAGCACAGCTCAGGCATTCGTTCAGTCATTCAACTGGCCCTGGCCGTGTGTGTGTGTGTGTGTGTGTGTGTGTGTGTGTGTGTGTGTGTGTGTGTGTGTGTGAGAGAGAGAGAGAGAGAGAGAGAGAGAGAAACAGAAACAGAGAGAGAGACTGAGAGTGTGCAAGCTCAGAGTGTATTTCAGGCTATCTTTTCTATTTAAAGGTGCTCCTGTGGATGACTGTTCTCTGTGTGTGTGTGTTTGTGTGTGTGTCCTTCCCAAGCTGTGCACACATGAGGATTCTTCTTTAGTCCCGTGGCTCTGGCCGCTATTTGCAGAGCATGTCAGCATGTGGACTGTGAGGGTAAGAGGCAGCACAGCTCCAGGTCAGCAGCCTCTTGGCCTGGAATGCGGGGCTGGTGTGTCTGAGCAGCTACTTCCCAGGGCTGCTCTGCTCAGGCTTGCTCTTTCAAGCTGCCTCTCAGAGAGCCCATTAGGGCTGCTCCCACCCTCACTGTGGCTGTCCTACTTCAGCACCTGGCCCCATGATGGGGCAGGAATTTGGAGGGTGAGCTTGTACCTTGGAGGGCTACAGGTTTTCTACATTTGATGTGTTATGCATCTTGGAGATAGAAAGCACAGACTTTGTGGTCAGATTTCTTGCCTTTGAAGCTGCCTCTGTTATTTACTAGCTGTGTGACCTTGGGGAAGCTACTTTACTTCTCTGTGCTTTGATGTCATCATCTGCCATAAAATGACAATAAATGGTATTATTTACCTTAAAGCATCATTGTGAAGATTAAATGATCACAGACAAAGCACTTAGAACAGGGCCTGGGGCAATAGAAAGCACAATACAATTGTTGGTCATCATTGTTATTCTAGACAGGAGTGGTGCAAACAGAAAGTGTGAAGAAATCAGCTTGGGGAGGAATGTAGAACTGGTGGATTGTACACACCAACGTAGGCAGCCACATACCTCCATGAATATAACAAAAATGCCAAGTCACAGCCTGCAATGGGTCAAGTTAACCATGTTGAGATAGTTGATTGCCTAAGTCCCGGAAAATGGAGACTTCTGATGAGGGAGTAGAAGGACCATAGGGATGGGGATAAGGAAGGGGCAGAATCATGTCAGGAGCCCAAGGGGGCTCTTTTTATGCTGGAGGACTATGTCCCAGGACCCTCCCTACCCATATGGGTCCAGCTTCCCTTATTTACCTAATCACATATAGCAAGGTTTTATAGAAGTTGAGTTTCAATGAAGGACTCGGTAGAGGTGGCCCCTCATTCTCCCTGAGTCTCCCCTTGGGCTGGGGGTCTTCTAAACTCTGATCTTGCCATTGCCTCCTACCTCTTATTCCCACAGCTGAGCATATAAGCATTTATTCATTGGCCATCTGAGTTCATTTTGCCTCAGTCCCTAATCTAATGAAGGATCTAATCAAGGCACAGAGAGGCTGATGGCTTCCCCAAGGTCACAACTAGAGCTCAGGAGGCTGCTAACCAGAAGGAGAGCAATAAAGGGCTGAGAGTAGGATCCTTTCCAAGGCATCCCAAACAACATGACAAGTCGGGGATTGTATCAGGCTTAGCATCAACCATCAGCTGTAGAGCCACCATAGGCTGGACTCCTTGCTGGGTCTCCCATAATCCTGCACCTTAAGTATTGTGACCATTTCATAGAAGGGAAAACTAAAGGTGGTTGATGCCTAAGGACACATGCCTAGCTGCACACCTAGAGCTAAGCTTGGATCCCTCCCTCCTGCTGCTCCCCCAGGTTGCTGGTGATTTGTTCTTCTGAGAATGGAGGGGCTTCTCAGTCAGAGAGAGTCTGCTCCAAGGGGTCTCCTGACCTGGCTTTGTTGGCCTCTCCCATGTTTGGGCTCTGTAGGTTGGCCATGGGGTAGGGGCTCAGTGTATCCAGGCTACGTTGCACCCTCTGAGTTTTCTTCAGGATGGTCTTCCTGGAGACTTCCCAAGCTGGTGGTGCCTTGGCTTTCTCTAGGGCTCCGAGGGGAGGTAGGTGGTAATGTTGTAAATGCTGAGCATCAGTCCAGGTTGTCCAGCTTGGCTAGGCCAGCATGTCCTGTCCAACATTGGTGGCCTGAATTCTGAACTCTCACAACCGTCAGATGCTTCTGGTCCCTTCCTGAGAGAGTGAGGGAACACTCCCTCATTATAGACCTGACCCCATTTGCAAGGCCAATAGTTGCCTGGGTGGTCAGCTCATTAGTCAAAATGATTAGACCACTTACAGAAAATGAGAAGTCACCAAAATCGGTGGGCTCCAGGGGAGCTTCCGGGAGTCAAACCTTCCAGGGGACCTTCGTCAGCATCATACCTGCTCAACCCAGGCAGATCCGTGAGAGGCATAGTCCTGCTGGGGGAGGGCAGGGGG